AGGATCCCAATGGATTCCCCAAGGATTCCTTGGCAACGGCTGTGCGGACACCCCCAAGCAACCTGCAACTCAGCAGCCCCCCACAGGGGCCACGGGGGGGATTGCTGAGTTCCTGGCTGCTTTTTGGGGGGGCGGCGGGGTTCCGCGCCAGTCCCTCACCAACAACAACAACAGCAGCAGCAGCAACAACCACAACGACAACCACAACAGCAGCAGCAGCAGCAACCAACAACACGAACAGCAACAACAACAACAACAACAACAATAACAACAACAACAACATCACCAACAACAACAACAACAACGACAGCATTATCATCATCAGCAGCAGCATCATCAGCATCATCAACAACTGCAACAACCACAGAAACAGCAACAACCAGCAACCATAACAACAACAACAACAACAGCCGCGACAACGACGACGACGACGACAACGGCCACAACAACAACAGCAAAAACAACAACTGCAACAACCGCAACAACAGGAGCAGCAGCGACAGCAACAACAGCAACAACGACAGCATCAGCAGCAACCAACAGCAACAACAGCAACAACAGCCGCAACAAAAACAACGACGACGACGACGACGACAACGACCACAACTACAACAGCAACAACAACCGCAACAACATCAAAAACAACAACAACAACAGAAGCAGTAGCAGCAGCAACAACAACAACCACAACAGCAAAAACAAACACAACAACAGCAACAATAATAATAACACATGAAATAACAACAACAACAACAGCAACAACAACAACAACAACAAGTACAACTACAACTACAACAACAACTGTAACAACCACAGCACTCACAACAACAATAACAACAACAGCAACAGCAACAAGAACATCAAACCTATCTCCAGATTCCAATATTGCCCGGATTGCTCCATAGCTCCTGGACTCCTGGATATGTGTTTCCTCCCCTCTCTTCCCATTTGCCAACGGAAAACAGCCTTCATGTGTGCCTGTACCTATTTCAAGGGGCCCAAGGACACACAAATAAATACACACACCAACAAAATGATTCCCCATAGTTTCCCATAGTTTCCGGGTTTGTTTTGTCTTCCCGCCCCGTCCGTGTGTTCTTGCCCCTCCTGACTCCTGCGTCCGTGTGTTCTTGCCCCTCCTGACTCCTGCGTCGACGAAAACCTGCGTCCGTGTGTTCTTGCCCCTCCTGACTACTTTGTCCCTCCTGGGCGAGGGCCCTGCGGGGCACAGCCGAGCAGGGCACGGAGGCCTCTCCCGCGCGCGACCCCCTCCCCCGGTGGCCCCGGGGACCCGCCGGAGGCTCGGCCCTCCCGCCGAGCCCCGTCGGGCCCCTGGGCGCCTGGGAGCGCCCCCGGCCGCGCGCGCGGCGAGCGCCGTGCGGGGCACGGTCGAGCAGGGCGCCCCAGAAGCAGGGGGGCGCGGTGGGATCACGTGGAAGGGGAGACACAAAAAATTATCCCAGCGAAAGCTAAGCTAAAGCTAAGCTAAAGCTAAGCTAAAGCTAAGCTAAAGCTAAGCTAAAGCTAAAGCTAAAGCTAAAGCTAAAGCTAAGCTAAAGCTAAGCTAAAGCCAAGCTAAAGCTAAGCTAAAGCTAAGCTAAAGCTAAAGCTAAAGTTAAAGCTAAAGCTAAGCTGGAGCTGAAGCAAAAGCTAAAGTTAAAGCTAAGCTAAAGCTAAAGCTAAAGTTAAAGCTAAAGCTAAGCTGAAGCTGAAGCAAAAGCTAAAGCTAAAGCTAAGGCTAAAGCTGAAGCTGAAGCTGAAGCTAAAGCGAAAGTTAAAGCTAAAGCTAAAGCTAAAGCTAAAGCTAAAGCGAATGCTAAAGCTAAAGTTGAAGCTAAAGCTAAAGTTAGGGGGCGCAACTGGGGGAACCGCTCCCAGGGGACTGGAGGAACCGCCCGGGGCGGGTTGCACTGCCCGGCCCCTTTAAGCTACAGCGTAAGAATCCTTCTAAACAGAGCCTAGGTAGGGAAAAAGATTCCCACAAAGAAAAAGATTCCCCATCTTTTCCCATATTGTCTGGGTTTCTTTGTCTTCCCCCCCACCACTGCCCATGTTTTCCCATATATTTTCTGGGGAAGCGACGGTTCATTGTGTCTGTGTGCTCTTGTCCCCTCCTGACAAAAGCAGGGGGGCGCGGTCGGATCACGTGGCCGTTTCGTGCTGCCTCCCACAGAGAGAGCCCTGGCACCTGGCCGCCGGGAAGACGAGGCGGGGCGAGCCCGTAGCAACAAGGCCCAAGGCCGCAAGGCACGCAGCGCGCCAAACAGTGACTCCGCGGGGGCGGAGCAGGCCGAAGAGGCCCTTCCCGCGCGCGCGACCACCTTCCCTTCCGCCCCCCCCCCACCTGCCCCATTGGAAGCTTGTTCGAGATCATGTGTTGGGGTCTCTTGGAGAAGCCTCCAGGGGCATGCTGGCAGCATCTTCGGGGGGCGTCTAGGGGGCCTCTCCTTTTTTGCTTTCTCTGCAGGCGCAGTGGCAAGGTGGAAGGAGCACAAGGCGGTCTGGCATGTCGGCCACCCCGAGCCATTATGTGTCGCGCAAGTGAACAGTCACAGGTCAGCGGGGAAAACTCGCCGATCTGCTGCGAGCAAGCACTGAATTTTTCGAGAGAATTCGTGGAAACACGCCGTCTCTCAACGAGAGTGCGACTCCTCGGTCACCCTCCCTCGTGCAGGTACTCCGTGGCAGCCTGCTCAGAACTCGTCGCCATAGCCCTCTTCCTCGCCCTCACCCTCCGCGGTCTCGATACCCACCTCCTCGTAATCTTTCTCCAGAGCCGCCAGGTCCTCGGGAGCCTCGGAGAACTCACCCTCCTCCATACCCTCGCCCACATACCAGTGCACGAACGCGCGCTTCGAGTACATCAGGTCGAACTTGTGGTCGATGCGCGAGAAGACCTCTGCGATGGCGGTGGAGTTGCTGATCACGCAGCAGGCACGCATGACTTTGGCCAGGTCGCCACCAGGGACCACTGCGGGAGCCTGACAGTTGATACCGCACTTGAAGCCCATGGGGCACCAGTCGCCTGCGCCGGCATGAAGCCGACCACCTCCAGACCTGCTTTGCTCAACCTATTCCAGATCTGGGGAACCTCGACGAATGCGGTTCCAACACCCTCCGGCGCTTCGCCGGCCTGTCCTGGGCCGTCAGGGCAGCCTCCGGTTCCCAGGGAGCGCTCTGACCAGATTTCCGAGGCGGATCCAACCGTGGCGGCAAGGAACGCTTTTGGCCCCTTCCACACGGCACACGCACGGCAGCCTCGAAGCGCGCCCCGAAACCCAGGGCTCCATGAACACTGCATGTACCACACTTCCAGCGCAGGTTCTCCGCCTCGTAGATGAGTTCGTGGCTGTCCGCATGCGCGGCCGTCCACTTCTGGATGCCCTGCGTGCTCTTCTGCCGCCCCCGGTTCGCCGCCTTCGGATTCCCGTCGCACTTGGCGCGCGCCAGATTGCTCGCCCTGTCCTTCCAGTACCAGCGGCGCTCACAGACAGTGCACCAGATGAGGCTCTCGTCCTCTGCGAACGGCACCTCCCCGAGCTTGCCATTCCACTTCAATTGGTGCTTGCCGGCGCTGCACTTCTGAAGCTCCGTCTCGACGATCTGCAAGCGCACAGAGCTCCGCCGCACGCCAGGCTGCGAGAGCCACTGCGATTGTGGCAGATCCTTCTGCGGACACGCCTTGCTCGTGATCTTCTGCCCCCTCGCCTTCATTTCCGCGGTCTGCTTGCCGCACTTGACGCAGAAGACCCCGCGGCCGCCAAGGATCAGATGGATGAGGTGGCCGTTGTCCGTGTTGGCAGAGCCACGCGCCCCGGCGCCTCGCCTCCGGGGACCACTCTCGCCCCTCTGGACAGCTCGCCCTGGCGCAGGCGGCGGCAGCGGCACATCGCCGGCAGGCGCGGATTTCTGCGTCAGCCGTCGCCGCCCTCCCGCGCCGGGCGGCCCAGGCCCTGGGCCGGGCTCCTCCCCCCCGCCACCTTCGTGCCAGGCGTGGATGCGATGTTGCCACACGTCTACCAAAGAGCTCTGGATCTCAACCACCTGCTCCGCGGTCAGCATGGAGGCCTCCGGCACGATGGTCGCGCACTGGAAGCACATCGGCTGGTCGGCGCACGGCCCGCCCAAAGCAGCCAGGGCTTGCCCCCGCCAAGTGCTCAGGTGCGGGCACGCCCAGGAGACGTGGACGACGGCCCCCCCGCCGAGGCCACACGAGCACACGACGCCTTCCGCCGCGCCCGCGCGACGGGCCAGCCTGTCACTCGCGAGCAGAGATCCCGCCATAAGACGGCGCAGCACGCCCAGCTTCGCCCGAGGATCATCGAAAGACAAAGGTATGTCCTGTAAATCTCCACTGTCCTGCTTGCGCTGAAGCCGATCAGCCTGCGCCTGCAACCTCCGCAGATAGCTGGTGAACTTCTCACGGTCCACACCATGCTCGGCGCCTCTGTGCGTGGCACGCAACTCCGGCAGTTGGCGCCAGAGCCTCCGCCGCCACGCATCCCGCAGGTCATGGCACCACCTGTTCACACCCAGCTGCTCCTCGTGCACCATCTGCTCGACGAAGGGCCGGGGCTCAGCGCATTCCATGACCTGGCGCAGGCGAGCAACAGAGCCATCTGCTCCCCGAGGCGGCGCCGCAAGAGCTGCCTGGACCTGGTTGCGACATGGCCCGACGCACGCTGTTGAGGCCAGCGCACACGAAGCCAAAAACTGGATCCAAGGTAACCGGCATCAGGATAGTGAGCGAAATCTGTACGCTGCTTGAATATTTGCCCATGTCCCAGGCCGCCTTCAGCAGCTCCGTGCGCAACCTATTCAAAAACAATCGGGGCACCAGGCATGCAATGAGACCCTCGGCCCCATGAAGCCTGCGAGGCTGTGGCCCGGAGCATCCGGACACGGCCGTGGAAGCCCTCTGGGGCCTTGCGCATGCGCTGCGCCGTCGCCGTGTACGTCGCGATGCGCTGATCGACCAGCTGCGGCCACGACTCCGCCTCCCCCTCCGCACGGCCTGCCACAGGACCTCCCACGAGCCGGAAAATATGCTCGTGGCCGTCAACTCCATCCAGGCTGCGGCGTAGGCACACATCGCCGAGAGTGAAGCTCTTCTCCGCCGACACCTGGCCACCGGTCCTCCTCTCGCACTCGCGGGTGATGGCGTGCATGTTCTGGATGTTCTTAACGAGCCTCGCTCCGCTCCTCGCTTTGCTCGTCGCTGACATGTCATCAGCGTAGGCTCGCGGGATCACGCTGGGCACATTGGCGCGCACGGCCTCGACCCAGCAACTGATGAAGGCGTTCAGGCCCATCATGGACAGCGGGCACCCTTGCACGATGCCACCGAAGATCTCGAAGGTCGCGCCCATGGCCCCCCGCATGCGGAAGCATCGCTGAAGTCGGCAGTAAAAAACCGCACATGGCCTGCAGTACCCGCGGGCGCATGCCACGTCGCGCCAAGACGGCTAAGAGAAGCTGAAGAGGTATGTAGTCGAATGCCTTCTTCAAGTCGCAGCTGGCGCCACCGACGCGCACCCCCTGGCCGCCCTGCTCCATGTCGAGCGCCACGCCCAGGAAGAGGCCCTCAGCTCCCCGACACCGGCGGCACCCCCAAATGCCTTCGGGCACCCAGTGCTCCTGCCAGGAGCCCATGGCGCAGTTGAAGCGGAGCTTCGCCCACAGACGGCATAGGATACTCAGCACCGTTATGGGGAGGGCCGTCGGCGCCAGCTCCGCATCCGTCTTGTCCTTCGGGATCAAAGCAACGCACCCCTGCGTGACCGCGCGGGGCCGCGGGGCCCCGTCCTCGACCGCGTTGAGCACAGATGCCAGCTGATCGAAGAGACGCGGATGCCAGCGAGCCAAGACCTTCAGCTCCTCCGCCGCCCAGGAGTCCAGGCCGCCAGAGGAGTTCGGCAAATCCGCCGCAACATTCACGAGCTGGTCACCTGTGATCCGCTCCGTCCTCCAGGAGTGCGTCCGCATGCGAGGCCCGAAGTACTCCATGAAGGTATCCACCGCCGGCTCCCTGTGCTTGATGCGTGCGAAGATGGGCCGCCAAGCGCCGGCGACCATGTTCAGCTGCTCGGGGATGTTCGCGGCGGCGGTGCCGCCCGGCCTCTTCATGGTGCCCCCGGTCTCAGCGGGGCCCCCTTTCTTCACCCAATCGCACGCTCTGCTCTGCTTGGCACGCAAGTCATCCCCCCAATTCTTGATGCGAGCCCGCTTCTCGCGCACTTGCACCTGCTGGAGCTCATTCAACAACGTCTCGTGGAGCCTGGCGCACCCGGTCTGCGTGCAAGACGACCGCATGGCCTCGCGGACTTCGTCGGCGACAGGCTCCTGACAGTGCGACAACACAGCCTGGAATCCCGCACGTGCGCGCTCCGCCCGGACGGACGAAAGGCCCATGCGCGCCGAGGCGCGGGCACGCTCGCAGGCCTTCAGGATGGCTCGGGTGGCACGGGACGCGGCGCTGTCAAGCACGACCTTCGGGAAAGCCTGTCGCTCCTCGATCGCGATCTTGCCGCGCCCCCGAACACGGCGCGCCTGCGCGAGCTCCTCGCCCCTGGGCGCCACGTCCGGCAGGTGAGACTCGGCTACGACACACCACGCCTTCAGTGCAGCATCCATGTCGCGCGCCTCCAGCGCCTGCTCAAAAGCCCGGTTGGGGTAGTCCCGGGGAGGCACGTACTCTGAGGGCGGCCGGCCAGGAAGAGGGACCCGCGCCACCCTGCGTGCCCGTCGGATGGTTTGCTGCGCTAGCGGCACATCAATAATCATGTCGATCGGGCGGTGCACGGGCAGCCCAGCTGTGGCGTCGATCTCGCACTTCTTGACCAAGGCAGAAGCATCAATGTTCATGATGACGCGATCGATGCGCGAACCACGGCCCTGGGTGCAGGTGGGGATGTCCAGCTGGCTCTCTGCGCAGAAGTCATAGCCCTCCTGCCACCAGGACTTGCGCAGCTTCTCCTGGAAATCGGCTGTGTCCGAAATCTCGGCGTTGAAGTCCCCCCCCACGAAGCAGGCCACTTGACCTCGAGCCACCACGTCCGCGAGCACCGCCTCGAGCATGTTCGTCAGATACGCTCGCTTCGCACTGTCGGTGCGTGCCCCCGACGGCCCGTACACCACGTATACAATGATGAATTGCTTGCCATCTCCTGTCCAGAGAGTCGCCGCCATCAGCCGGTCCTCATAGCATTTGCGGCACGGGCTCCCCACGTCGAAAACGACCTCCCGAATCGCCTGAAAAGACTGCCGCCACGCCAAGATGCCGACGCCGTCGAAGGTCCCCTCCGTAGCAGGCCGGCCCCAAAGCATCCACCACCTCTCATCATCATGCCGCAATTCCTGTTGCAGAGCCTCGTCAGCATGGGTCTCCGTCAAGGCCACGACGCCCGCGGTCACATTGGCAATCTTCGCCCACCGCCCTTGCGACTTGAGGCCCGAGACGTTCACAAAGCGCAGCTTCATGTTGCCGTGGAGGGCGCACGCGCCGCGGTGCCACTCCACCGTCTTCAGCCAAGGATGTCGGCACCTCCACCGCGCCGAAAACGCAGTCCCAAGTACAAGTAAAAGGTACCAGAGGCCAGCGACCAACCAGCAGCCCCTTCGAGGATGCCGGCGCGTCGCGAGGCCGCCAGAAGCATCAGCACAGGCCACCCTTCCCTTCAGGAAGTGGCCACCATGGGGCCGATTGAGCAGCTCCCTCAACGTTGGTTCTCCAAAGCCATGGGCTCCGGCGGCGCATCCCCCTCCCGCTTCTGCGCGACCTGCCGCTGCGGCGTCGCGCCGGTGCTCTCCCTCTGGCGCGCCGTCGGCTGCGGGCTGGAAGCGCGGGCGGCTGGCCTCTGCGCCCGTTGGAGCGCGCCTTGGGCCTGGCCCTTCGCCCCCGCTGTTGCACGGGAGGCAGCACTGGAGGCCGCCGGAGCCATGCGGGAGCAGGCGCGCAGCCCAGCCGCATCAATCTTCTGCTGGCTGAGGCGCCCGACCGCACGGATGCACACCAGGCACGGCTCGCCCGCACTCGGCTCCACCTGGAATCTCGCCGCCGGCGGCGCAGTCTTCGCGTAGACCAGGGCCTGCCCCTGCGCCGCGTCCCTGTCCGCGTACACGAGCTCCGCCACCTCCCACGAAATCGGCCAGCATCTTCTTGATGCCCTGCACTCCGACCTCTGGCCTGACGGGCACCACTTTGCAACGTGTAGTGCCCTCGAGCAACTCCCGGCCACGGATGCTCTGGACGGCTGCATCGTAGGCCTCCTGCGTCCGCCACCGCAAACCGCAACGCACCCGCTCCCCCCCCCGCCTCAGCAAGCCGATGCTGGACATCGCGTCGCAGACGTCCAGGGCCTCCTCGTGCGAGAGCCCGGGCTCCAGCCACAGCACGAAGGCCGCCACGCCCTCCACCTCGTCGAAAGCGGGCTTGGAATAGGCTCCCTGACGGCCCGACTTCTGCATGAGATCGCCCACGAGAGAAGACGGGACGCGAACCGTGGCGGAGCCGCCGCCCCTGACCACGATCTCGTGCATGTCCACCGTGGCCCCGGCGCAGCCCTTGATGGCGTCCGCGACGCGCATGGCCGCGATGACGGTGTCCGGCGCCCACTCGAAGGCAGCCCTGTCGACGTCGACCACGATGCGCACCATCGTCCTGTGCTCGGCCACCTGCACCAACCCCTCCCCCAGCACCCTGTGGACCGCCCAGCGTCGCCCAACTGCGTCAAATACCGCCGTGCTGCCAGATGCCCCCTCCAAGCCCCTCGCATGCCATCCGAAGCCATGGCCGTCTCGTCGAAGACCTGCATGTTGAAGGTGACGAGCGTGGAAGAGTACCCCTTGCACCCGAGCTCGCGCAGCGGCCTCGTCGTCAGAATTGCGGTCGGCCGCAAGGTGGGCTCGACGCGCACGAGGACCTGTCCGACCCCGGTCTCGCAAGCCATTGCCACCCCCCCGGCCCGGGTGAGGTCCTCCGCGGAGCAGACGGCCACGTTCCACTCGTCGGCAAACAGCGCTGGCCTCCGACGCTGCAGGGAAGCCCACTCGGCAGCCTCTTCCTCCTCTGTCCTCCGCTGCGCCTCCGCCTCCGCCTCCTTCTCCTCGTTGCGGCCGCGGTACTTGCCCTTCATCTTGCCGCCCTTCCCCTTGCCACTCCGCCCCTTGCCGCCGTAGCCCCACTGGGGCCCGTTCCCCTGGAGGGCGCGCATCAACTTCTGCCGCGCCCTCGCCACCTCGCGCAGCCACCCGCGGCTACCGTCGTGACCACTCAGGTCGTCCAAGTATGCCTGCATCAAGCGCTCGATTACGTCGTAGGACCGCTGGGAACATTTATGTCCGGTCACTTCCGGCCCACCGCCGGCGGCAGTGAACCCCCTCCCAGCCGGGGAGCCCGCGGGGCACCAGTCCACGAATACAGACCCTCGCGCGCGGGCCGCGCCGCGGCCTCGAGTGGGAGTAACGCTTACCATGCGCGGTACAAAATAAACTTACAGAGCACAGTTGCATCCAATCGTCGTCGTCGACAGAGGCGGTCGCGAAGCTCGGCGGCCGCCCCGCCGCCGCGGCAGCCAGAAGCAGCCGACGCCCCTCCCGCCACGCGGACCAGGCGCCAGGCACCGAGTGGCCCGCCCACCGCCGAGGCAGCCGAGCTGGCCTTGAGGCGCGGCGCGGCGCGCGGAGTCAGGCCCGGAGGCCCCCGGCCCCGCGCGCCAACACAATGCGGAACGTCACCTTGGTGCGGACGCCGCCGCTGGCCGGCGGCAGGCCGCAGGCCGGCGCTGGACCGCTGGCCGGGCCTTGGCTTTGGCTCTGGGTCGTGCCTTAGCCTTGGCCGCGACCCGGGCACGCTTGTAGGCTGCTCGTTTGGCTCTCCTCGCCGCCGCAGTGGCCGCCTCGTCCCCAGCACACGTCCGGGCGTGGTTGGTGGCCATCCCGACGGTCTTGAAGAACTTCCCACACCCCTTCGGGCATGGCACCGTAGCAGTGCGCTCGCGAAGCAAATCGACATGACGGAACAGCGACAATTCACCTGGGATGATATTCTCGACGCCGTCCGCAGCACAATGCTCGCATCGAAAAGTCGCGCCACCGCCCGGCAGACAGGGGGGGGGGGACAGGGGGAGGGGCAGGAGGAGGAGGGGCGGGGGGGACAGGGGCAGGGGCAACAGCAGCAGCGGCGGCGGGTCGGCGTAGGACGCCGCGTGGCTCCGAACCTGCAGGTCGCCGCCAGACGCGTCCATGACGAATCCAAGTAGCGGCTCTCGCGTCAGCGGCATCAGGCCCGGCACAGTGCGCCCGGACGACAGTGCGCCATAGCTCCCGGCCCTTAGCCTTGAGGTCCAGGAAGTCGGGGTCGATGCCAGCCCTGCGAAGAAGTAAACGCCAGCATCTTGGTTTGGTCGGTTGTGCTCCGCGCAGACCATGCAGCTCATCCTCGCGGTGCCACCAGCCAAGCTCGGCGGCCTTCACTGGGCGGCAATTTGGCATCCTCCACACATGCCCGATCCAGCGCAGGACTCGTTCCTCCACGAGCGATTTCACAGTCCTCACGCCGAGCTCCGCCCGGACGTCGGCCATGTTGATGTTGTATTTGGCCACGCGCCACCGGAGGCCCTCTCTTCCCCTGTGCACCGTTCCCCACACGTATCGCCAGCAGAAATCGAAGAGCCGTTGGAGCCGCTGCAGTTCTCCCTCGTTCCAAGCCCGGCACTCAGCACCATACAGAACTGAAGCTGCAACCACAGATTGAATGTAATAGGCCATACGCCTGGGCGACAGCTTGGCCCTCGAAATTCTCTTCCGAAGTCCACTCCAAGCCTTCCAAAAACGAGAGGTTCGCTTCTTGTTGTCGACGTGCCGAGAAGTCCACACTCCCAACACGCGCGTGTCTGGGTCATCTGGCGTAAACCAAGCATGTTCCGTCTTGCCCGTCTTGCCCGGCTTTGCACCACAGTGCGCTCGGCCTCAGCTGCCTCCCGCCTTTCGTGCATGAGGGTTGCGTCGTCTGCAAACAAGATGTGCTCGAATCGCAGGTGCTGAAGGCCAGTCAGCCGCCTCCGATTGCCCCGGTGGTTCGGCTTGAGAGCGCCCGGGCGCCACACCCAGGGGGCGCCGACAGGGGTGTCGGAGGCCTGTGCCGACTCGTAGCGCAGCTCCCAGGCCGTCGTCATCGACTCCGCGTGGAACACATTGAAGAGGACAGGGCCGCTCGCAAATCCTTCCCGCAGGCCTCTCTGAGGGTGGAGTCGAGCGGCGTAGGGCGGCGGAGCGCTCTGCCATCATCTCTTCCACTTCCTCACACATGCGAAGGACGATGCAGGCGGCGCCCCGGGTGCTCCGCTCTTCCCGGAGGCCCTGCTGCCACTCCCCCAGCACTCGGGCCTCCTCAGTCCAACAGCGGAGCCGCGTGGCGAGCACTCGGGCGACAATCCGGGTGATCATCAAAAACAAACACACCATCCGATAATGATTTGGACCTTTCCGGGACCTTTCCGGGAAGAGAGGCACCATGACCCCGACCCACACAAGTTCCCCCCAGCCCCCCTCGGGATCATTCCAAAAGCGCCTCACCAAGTCGAACACCGCCTTCTGCATGCGGCCCCCTGCTTTGCGGATGAACGAGATACGGATCTGGTCGTCTCCTGGCGTCTTATCCTTGATTCTTTTGAGAGCACTCGAAATCTCAGCGTCCTCCAGGGGCCTGCCCAGACGGTCGGCAGCGGCCTTGAATCGAGGATGTCCCCGGCGGTCCCTGAGGCGCCCGATGGCGTCTTGGATCTCCACCTCTGTGCGCTCGTATCTGTCCTGCCCGACCGTGGCCGCAACGGACGTCAGCTGCTCGACCGCCACGGGCGGGGGCCGCCGCCGGCCCGTTGCAGCAGCGCGCTTGAGGCCCTCGCTGGCGGCTCTCTCGTCGCCCATGGCCTCGGCAGCAGCTATCTCGTCTGCAAGCTGATCGTGCCATGCTCGCTGCCACCGTCGCTTGTCCCGTCTGTAGGCAGCACGGGCACGGCGGAGCCCCGACCATGCTGACTGCAACTCTGAATCGTTAGCTGCTTGTCTCCTCCGCGTTGTCCACTCGCCGATCGTGCCCCTATGCCGGGACGCCTCCGCGCGATGGCCAACCATCCACGACAGAGCTGCGAACTGACGAGTCTCGCCAAGAACATTGCGAGCCGTCTCCTGCAGTTGGACAGACAGAGACTCCCACGTCGGGTTGCTCCCCAGATTGTCCGCCGCAGCGTTGGTCTCCTCCACATAGCGCGTGGCAAGATCTGGTTCCCGAAGCCTCTCAAATGCAATGCGGGGGGCTGGCCGAGGACGAGCCCTAGGACGTTCTTCGCCGGCATGGCCGAATGCACGGTGCACGCGCAGAACCTTCGGCAAGTGGTCCCCGATGCGCGCCGAGCAATCCACCTGGACAGATCTGATTCTGGCCGCCCAGCTAGTGGCCTTCCCCCCCCCCCAAAAAAAAAAAAAAACATGCCATGTGCGGTCCTTGCCATGCCTCCACGTGCCCCTGTGGCGCATAGAGAAATGAGAATCAACAAACGCGAAACCCATTCCAGCAGCCCATTGCTCCAGATCGGCCCCGGCCTGGTTCTGCACGTTCGTGGCATACCGCCCCAAGCAGGACGACGGATCCTCGGATAAGCCCATCTGGGAGTTCCAATCACCACCGACGAGGGACCACGACTCGGGCGGACAGCCCCGAACTGCATCCTCAAGCCCCCAACGAACCCCGTCGCGAAGCGCCCGGCGATCCTTCCACAAGGGGTGGTAGACAGCAACGAGGCGCAAGTTGGGGAAGTCGGCCCAGAGCACCCGCTGGCTCGCCTGGTACTTGCTGCCGTTGCTCTCCCACTCACTGGCCCACGAGTCGTTCATCCAGATGGCTGCCCTCGCTGTCGAAATAAGCACCCAGCGATCCGCCCCCTCCCCAAACTCCCACACTCCCGGTTCACCCCCACGAACATCAGCCAAACAAACCACACCCTACTTCTGGCTCTCCGCGAGGGCAATCACCTCGAAGAACCTCTTCTGAGCATCCTCGCCAACTGGCAGCCGGCACACGTGCCACGTCGCGATCGTGACGTTCCTGACTCGCAGATCCTCGTCAGCATCGCGCCCACGAGCTTCACGAACCTCACGCTCGATCTGAAGACTCCGCAATCTGCGATGCTCCCGTCGGGCGGCGGTCTTCACCGCTCTCCGGGACTGCGCTCGATCCCTCCTCCTCACCCTCCTCTCTCTCCGATCAGCTCGTCGCTCAACTGATCGTCCCTCCGCGCATCTATGACCATGTCGTTTTCCACTCCCTGGATGACGCCCTGCATGTCTGTTGCCTTCGGCAGCGAATCCGGTAGCTGGGCCCACTACCGGCACCGCGATCCCAGGCCCCGGCGACGAAGGAACTGCGACTCTTCGAATTGCATTCCCACCCGCCGACACCGGGCTGCGCTGGATACTTGCCTCGTCGACCCGCCGCTCGGCGGGGAGAGTTCTCGCTTCGCGCCCCCCTCGAAGGCGCCCAGCACGGCCAACCGACCCCGCAGCCCCCGAGGGGGGCCCCGGCATCACCCCAGCTGCGAAGCCCAGTCCACGAATTGAACGGTGCGTTTGGTCTTTATAGTAGCTACCGCAGCGCTCACATCTTTGGGCACTACGTCTCCACGGTACATCATACAGCATGCGGAAAAGGAGTTGCAAAGGTCAGAATGACCACTCCCGGCGTCTGGCTTAGCCATCCGCCGCAGGGCGATTTTGTGCGTGACAGTGCTCGGGAGCACTGCCAGGGAGGCCAGACACCCCTCACAAGCCGCCCCTTGCTCGCGGAACTCAAATCCGCGAGGTGTGCCGATCAGGATGCACCCGATGACAGCCTTCCCAGTAGGAGTCGCGACCGCACCCCCCGATGCGGCGAGGACTATAAAGTCAGGGCACTAGGCCTACACTCCCTGGGTCGGCTGCCACGGACCGCCGTCACGGCACACTTGCGTCTGCTGGAGGCCCCCTCTACCTCCTTGGCCTCGATGCCCTCCGCCGCCTCTGGGGAGAGACGGCCGTCGACAGATCCTGCCAGCATCAAGTTACCCCTGGCCGCCACGAGGAGGCTTGCAGTCCGACTTTTCGGCCAGGATCACACAGCATGCCATATACTTGCCATGGCGAGGGTCGCACTTCACGAACATGGATGCGGGCTCGAAGACGGACATGGTGATCCCCGCCACTGACAGCTGTTCACGGCACGCCTTCTCCGCAGAGATCACGGGTGCATAGCTGGAGAGCATGATACGTGGGTAGGGCACCAAGTTCGTCTGGAACTCGGCGATGTCAACGTTCAGAGCACCATCGAAGCGCAACGACGCTGTCAGCGAGGAGATGATCTGCGCCAGCAGCCTGTTCAGGCTGGCGTAAGTAGGGCGCTCGATGACAAGATTGCGGCGGCATATATCGCACAATGCCTCGTTGTCATACATGGGGAAAACCAAGCCAGCGAAACTGGCCTCAGCATGCCGCGGCACGCTGGTGGCTTGTTTGACGGCACAAGCCTAAGCCGGGTGGAATTTCTGCCTCACCTGCTGGCCGGCTGAATATGCTCAGCCCTCCAGCTGCCTCCTCCTCCTCCACCTCCTCCAACTCCCCGCCGCCTCGCCCTCCTCCTCTTCATCCTCCTCCCCACGCTCCCATGTTGACCGCCTCGCCCTCCTCCTCCTCCTCCTCCTCCTCCTCTTCCTCCTCCTCCTCTCACTGCCGCTGCCTCTACCTCTCTGCCTGTTTAAGCATTTTCCTCCATCCTCATCATCTGCCACGTTCCGCCAAGGCTGGGCCTGCCTCCGCGGTAGCGGTCCTCGACGAGGCTCTGGCGCACGCCAGCCATGTACTCGAGCTGCTTCCGCCATGCCCGGCGGGCGTCTGCGCCCTGGAGCGCCTCCTCTGGCCACCCCATCCGTCTGGCCAGCGCGCTCCGCGGCGTGGCAATACCTCTCCTCCTGCCGGCCCACCTGTCGCAGCGCCACCAATGGTGGACCACGTCTGGCACCTCGCCGCTCGGGCAATCGCTGCACGGGCGCGGCTCTCTGCCCATCGCCACATCCAGCCTGGCATCGCTCCACATGGCCCCGGTGAGCACGGCCAGCGCATGGCTGCCAAGCGCGCCTGACTGCAGCACTTCCGTCGCGACGTGGAAGGCTCTTTCATCGAAGGCGACGCCTTCCTCCACAGCTAATCTGCTGTCACGTCTCGTCGCCCCTTGGGCCTTGAAGGCGCCCCAGCGCTCCTGCCGCCAGGCCTCGCGGAGCACGTGCGCCGCTCTGCCCCTGCGGTCGTCGATGCGCAAGTGCCTCTCGCCATGCTTCCAATCGCCCGCGTGGGTGCCCCTGTGGAAGCCCATTGCCTCTAGGTGTCGCTGCAAGCAGCGGGTCGGGCCGCAACTGTCCGTCACCTCCACCAGCCTCTGCCATGCCATGCCGTTGTCATACATGATGGTGACATCTGTGTGCTCCAGGAAGGAGTGCACGCAAAGCACAGCGTTGTAGGGCTCAACCACTGCCGTGGCGACCTGCGGGCACGCCCACACGGTGAAAGAGACCTTCGTCTTCTTCCCGTAGTCCACAAACAAGCGCTCCAGCATCAGGCAGCCGAGCCCGGAGCCGGTGCCTCCGCCGACGGCATTGTAGATCATGGAAAGAGCGTGATCCACCGCCGCTTTACTGTGGAAAATTGCCGCACTTTTCCTCCAGAACCCAGGGGACCCCCCCCCCCTCCGAAAATCCCCCCCCCCCTGCTGGAACCCCTCCCCCCCCCTCCCTTCCCCGGCAAAACCCCCCCCTCCCCTAACCCCCCCCCCCTCCCCCTCGAAAACCGGGGGGGTCACTACCGGTTCGAACCCCCCCCCCCCTCGAAAACCGGAAAGGGGGTCACTACCGGTTCGAACCCCTCCCCACCACCACCCCACTCACCGCCAGCAAACGACTCCCGGCCCCTACCACCGTCCGCACCACATTCCCCACTGTTGTTCCCAGCACCACTGCCTTCACCACCACTGCCCCCACTGGCTCCACCGCCGTCCCTACTCTCCCCACCAGTGCCCCCCACCACTGTCGCACTGTCCCCACTGTCCCCACCACTGTTCCCACCAGGGCCCCATTCTCCCCAGTTTCTCCACGGCCCCAACCACTGACCGACTATCCCCACTGTCCCCGCTGTCCCACTGACTCCTCCGCTGTCCCACTAAGCTGTCCCACTGTTCCCACCACTGTCCCCACTGTCCGCACCACTGTCCCCACTGTACCTCTGTCCCATTGTCCCACCGCCGTCCTCGCCACCGCCTTCACCACTGTCCCCGCCACTGTACCCTCCACTGTCCCACTGTTTCCACCTCATTCCCACTGCCCCCACACCACTGTCCCCACCACCACCGTCCCCACCACTGTCCACTGTCCCTACTGTTCCCACCATTGTCCTCACCACTGCCCCCACCACTACCGTCCCCACCACCGTCCCACTGTCCCCACCACTGTCCCGCTGCCCCCTCACCACTGCCCCCATCACCACCGCCCCCACCACTGTCCGCACCCCCCCCCCCCCTCGGTTTTCAGGGGGGGCGGGGGAGGGTTCGACCCGGTAGTGACCCCCCCCGGTTTTCGAGAAGGAGGGGAGGGGGGGGGGGCTCGAACCGGCAGTGACCCGCCCCCCCCTTTCATGATGAACGGGGGGGGGGGGGGGCTCGAACCGGCAGTGACCCCCAACGGTTTTCCGGAGGGGGGGGGGGAGGGTTCGTACCGGTAGTGACCCCCCCGGTTTTCCGCCAGCAGCGGTAGAACACGCTCTTTCAGATCATGAAGCCCTGGAGGCCAGTGCAGTTGTCGGCCAACTTCCTGATCCGATCCAGCACGAGGTCGACGATCTCTTTGCCGATGGTGTAGCGCCCTCGCGCGAAGTTGTTCGCGGCGTCTTCCTTGCCAGAGATGAGCTGCTCAGGGTGGAACAGCTGTCAGTAGGTACCCGCGCGTACTTCATCGACCACAGTGGGCTCCAGGTCGACCATCACACTCCGGGGAACGTGCTTGCCGGCGCCAGCCGAGGAGAAGCACGGGTTGAAGGCATCGTCGCCGCCTCCGATCGTCTTATCAGAGGGCATCTGGCCGTCAGGCTGGATACCGTGCTCAAGGCAGAAAAGCTGCGCGGGGCGCTCGAAGACCAGGCGCTGGTCGCCCTGGTCCCACCACCGCCCACAGCCAGCACGATGGAGCGTCGCTGAAAAGCACCCGTGGCCAGGCCAGCACCGCACCGCCCGACCTGGCCTCCCCCGCGGGGGACGTGGGGGGCCCTGGCGGGCCCGCGAGCCCCAGGAGGGGCCAGGGCCTCCCCCCCTCCGAGGGGCCAGGAAGGAGTCGAAGACCCAGGAGGCGAGGAGGACGGAGCCGACGACCCGGTAGGAGTAGAAGGGGGCCAGGAAGGAGAAGACGACCCGATTGGCGAAGAAAGAGACATGGAAGGAGAAGATGACCCGGTAGGCGAAGAAGAGGGACAGGAAGAAGTCGGCGACCCGGAAGGCGAAGGGGAGGGCCACGCAGGTGTAGACGACCCGGCGGGCGAAAAGGAGGGCCGCATAGATGTAGACGACCGGTACGCAGAGAACAAGGCCAGGGAGGAGTCGACGACCTGGTCGGCGAAGACGAGGGCCAGGAAGGTGAAGACGGCCCGGTAGGCGAAGAGGAAGGTCACGTAGGAGTAGGCGATCTGGTAGGCGAGCAGGAGGACCATGTAGGTGTAGACGACCTTGTAAGCGGAGAAGAACAAGGCCAGGAAGCAGAGCAGGATTGGCAGCGGCAGCGCCACGGCATCTGGAGGCCAGCCGCCTGACGTTTCGCCAGACATGGCCTGATGCTGCCGGAGCACTTTGTCGCCTGGCCAGAAAAGACCGCAGGACGTGCACGGACCACAAGACCACTGGGCCACCTCCGCCGCAGGGAAGCGCCGCCGACGGCGATCACGGACTCCCTCCATATGGATATCATATACATTCTTGGCCGCAGCTGCACTGCACATCTTCTCGTGCCCGGCCCGCGCCCCCGGGTTCACGGCCAACAGCTTGCCGCACTGGTGGCAGTTCTCAAGCCCGGCAACGGGTGCCTGGCCCGCCTGCCGCCCGCGGGCGCGACTGGGTCTATTGGCGCCTGGAACTGCGCGCGCAGGGCAACCGAGCACGTGCAACGGCAGGTTGCCGAAGCACCCCTCGCAGTCGTGGCATTTCTTCAATCGGCGACCAGCTGCTGAGAACCTGGGCGGCGACCCTGGGTCGACTAGCGGAGGCGGAGGGGGAGGATTGCGCCCTGCCTGCGGCTGGTGCCCGTAGGACGTGACCCGGTCAGCCGCGATGGCGTCAGTGAACCATCTGGCGACGAGCTGCTTCCAAGTGTCTCCGTGCGCACGCACAGACTCGTTGGCGACGATCTGCCACGGCCTCGCATCGCACTCGCTCAGCTCCCCCACCACCGTTTCCAGGTACGCCCGGAAAGAGCGGTTGCCCCAGCTGGTCGCTGGCGCCGTGCGATTTTCCTCTAGGACCAGCCAACCGTTAAGGAGCTGCTTCTCGAATCGGGAATGAGGCTGTCGGGCCACGTGCCCCCAATACAGTAGCTGCCGCTTCTTGATCACTGCGCCGACGGGGTGCAGACCGCACTCGGCCCGCAAATCCGCCATGTTGCGCTGACCCCGCATGTTCGAGATACCGGCCCCCTTGCTCAGGCACACACCCCTGACCACTCTGTTCATAAAAGATTCATATTGGCGCATTTCCACTGCGGAGAAGGGGCGGCATTCACAACCATATACCAAGGAGCTAACCACAACGGCCTGGACGATAGCTCCTTTCTGCTTCTTGGATAGGCCCGAGTACTGCAAGGACTTGCGTAGCTTGCCCCACGCCTGTCTCGCTGCGCTGAGCCTCTACTGCGCGTCCACACCCAGCCCGCTGGTAGCTTCGAACCATCCCCCCAGGAGCCGCACTGCCGTCTTGAACTCCACATCGGGGTCGGCCACGGGATCCTCGGTCGGGTGACCCAAGCGGAGCCTTTCTGTCTTGCCCGGGTGGGCTGTCTCGCCCCAGTCGCGCATGACCTCTATCGCGAGTCTCTCGATGTCGTCTCTCTGGGCTTCCCGAGAGAGCATCGTTGCGTCATCTGCAAAGAGGAGCGTAAGCAGCCGAGAAAGATGCAGAGACGTCGGCACCTCGCGGAGGAGGCGCCTGCGCGCGGACCCCACAGCTGTCCGCAGCGATTGCGACACACATTGCTCACCCATGGACTGCACGGCCACCCCCGCCTTGGGTCCGAGTTCGGAACGAATGCGAGCCTGCACCTGCGAGATGACCCAGCTGTGGTATAGATTGAGGATTATGCAGGATGACGGGCACCCCTCTCTCAGCCCCCGCTGCAGCTTGTACGTCTCCGACCGCCCTTGCGCTCCATCCACCCGGCAGCTCGTCGTTTCGCGTAGTCCGCGGATGACGCGCAGCATCGCTGGATGGACGCCCATATTGTCCAGCACTGCCCAACGCGCATTGCGAGGGGTATTCGGGTACGCCTTGATGAGGTCCAGGAAGACGAGCGCGACCCTCTCCGCAGGCTCGGGGGACAGAGTGCGACTGGCCATCTCGACCAGCAGGCGAGCTGCGAACAGGACGTCGAGCGTTCGCCTGTTGGGCCGGAAGCCGTACTGCTCAGGCAAAATGAGGTTCTCCCACTCGCTCCACGCCGTGAGCCTGGAAGCCACTATGCGCGCCACCATGCGCGAGCATATCGAGAGCAGGCATATGCCGCGCCAGTTGTTGAGGCCCTTCTTGTCTCCTCTGCGTTTGTACAGCAATTTGACAAGAGCCTCGACGCACTGATGCTCCCACAATGCTGGGTCTGTTATCCACATCTTCTGAATCAACTCCGCTAGCACATCCCGGAAAATGTGTGGAGCGCCCTTCACCATCTCGATTCGGACCTCGTCCTTGCCGCCAGCGCTGCCCTTCATCTTGGCGATGTTGGCGTCTACCTCCCGGCGAGAAGGAGCTCCCCCAAGGGCGCTCGCAACTGGGCGAGGGGGCGGGAAACTTGCGAACAGCGCCTCCGGAACCGTGTTCGGCGCTCCCGCGATGCCCAGCATGTGCTTACGAGCCTGTTCCAGCGCGTACGGTTCCTGCCCTTCCCTGCTCTGCTTGGCCAGCTGTTTGCGCAGCACTCTGATCGTGGAGAAGAGCTTGCCCGTGTCGTCGCACGCCGCCGCGGCGGACAAAGTCTTCACGGTGTCCTCGATACGTTCCCATGTCCAGCGTCGGTGCTTGGCGCGAACCTGTCGGTTGAGCGCTCTGTGTCTGGCGCGCGCTGCCTCTTCCCTGGGCGATCCTTGGGCTGATCGCACTGTCTCCAACGAAGCGATCAGCGCCTCTCGGTCTGTAGCTGCCTCCCGGCTGCGGCCACCGAACTTGGGTGGTCGCCCTCTGCCCACCACGGTCTCCGCCGCCTCCACGAGGCACCGGGACAGGCACTCCCACGAACGAGACAGCGGTGGCAAAGCTTCGGCCGCTGTCCGAACACGACCCCCAAACTCTGCGCGGCGGGCCACGGCGCTCGGAGACAGCCCCTTCATAAGACCAATCCGGATCGGGGGCTTGCAGTCTGCGGTCTCCCGCTCGAAGGAACGACTGCCGCGAGGTTCGGCAATGCGGAGCCGGATCTCCTTGGCTATGTGGTCCGTGTATGCCCGGATAGCCTTGGCGCGGATCAGCACGATGCGCTTGCGCGGGTCTGGGCTGCAGAGGGAGTAGTCCCGTTCGTACTAATCTCCAGATTGCGGATGCCTCCACGCCCCACGAGATGGGAACACGAAAAATGAGTCCGCCACTTGCAAGCCGTGCTCTTCGCACCACGCCCCCACGCGGAGGCCTGCAGGCACGCTGGTCCAGCATGCCCCAAGGGCCCTGCCAATCACCGTCGACAACCGTCGTTCGCGGCCTGCGCCCCCCCACGTGCCCATTCCAATCCCCCATGAAAACAAGTTTGTCTTCAGGGGCGAAAGACGCCTGCATATCGTCCAAATGATGAAGAAATGCTTCACGCGCCTCCTCCTGGTCAGATGCGGGAGCATAGCAGCTGATCAACCAATAGCGGACCCCATGAAGGCTGAGCGAAACTGCTGCGATGCGATCTCCGCTGCGTTTGATATGTTGTCCGCCCGCAGTCCAAGCCTTCGCGCAAGTCCTGTTGAGCAAAACTGCACTGCGCAAGCCAGACACCGCGACGAACTCTTCCACACAAACGACTGCTGGCTCTGGAGAATGCATGTCTGAATGGCCCACGCAGTCCCACAGAGCTCTGCGGGCGCCCAAGATGACCTCCTTCCACTTCTCGAAGGCAGCCACTCGCGTCCAGTCGAGGCCCCGCACGTTGAGAGTGCCACCTCGCAGCTCCTCCTCTTGCCCCAGGTCCCTCTGGTTACATGCACGGCGCTGGTGCTGCCGTCGCCCGCGGCGTCGACCGCCCGCTGGCTCCAGGCGCGTCCACGTCGCACTCTCCGAGAGGACCCGGGCATGCAACGCCTTAGTCTGCCACGCTGCACTCCCCAGCTGCGCCTGCAGCTTCGCATCTCTCGCACGGTCCCGGCGCAGCGCCGGCCTCCAGCGCGTGGGCACAGGCGTCTCTGGCTGCTGGTCAGCTGCTGCTTGGGGCCTGGACCTTCGCCCCCTTGCCTCCTCAACCTGCTCCTCCGCCTCCCCCCGCACTCTCCTCATGTCTCCTCCCGACCTCTTGCCGATAATCCGCCTCCTCCTCAAGCCCTCGGCCGTCCTCCCATACACCTCACCGTTCACCACCTTCTCCACTCCTCTCACCTTGCAGGCGCCCTCGGAGAGACTCTCAATGATGCCTGCATAGCGACGCTCCACCACACTGGATACAGCGGTAATGGAACCCTGCGGATGCCGAAGTTCGCCCGGCCGGGGCCGGGCACGCCCTGACGCACCTCCACGGAGCACGCCACGAACGCGGTGTGATACCATTTGTCGCTGAGCACACCAGCCGCCGAAGCCACTAGCGCCCCCGCGATACACGTGCTCCCACTATGAGGGAGGTATCACCAGCACGGGCAGAAAAGCTGTGCGGGGCGCTCGAAGGCCAGTGACTGGCCGCCCGTGCAGTCTCCACCTGAAGCGCAGCCATTGTAAGATGCCGATAATCCCAGGCGCGCACCACGTAGGCCCTTGATGGGGGGCACGCACACTGGGCGCTGAAGTGGCGAGCTTGGTTCCTGCTCCAAGTCGCTATCGCCGTAGCTCCTTCCAGGCACACACCGACTTGGTTCACGGCTCAAGGCCGGTCGATGCGGATGGTTCACGCCTGGGGTGTGGCCGAACTCACGAGGGTCACAAGCCAGAAGCCGCCACCTCAGCATATCAGCCGCCTACGCCGGCCAGCTCCTCCAAGCAGATCCTGCTGTGCATGCCGAAGTTCGCCGGGCGAGGAGATGGACAACCCACGTCCACGCCCGACACGCCCCCCAGAGGCTGCACATGGTCAAGCAAAATGCCCTACCACCTCTGGGCGAGCGCGGTGTCTGCCAGCATGCATTGCCAATCTGCACACCCGCCTGCCCAATGTGGATGCAGATCGCCTCACGCATTGTGTCGGATGGGCTTCTTGATCGAGTTGAAGTCTGACAGGGGGTAACAACTTACAAGGCCGCCGCGTGATGTGACAGCCTCGATCGGAACCGCTTGAGCCAAAACGGCAACAGAGGGTCGTCTGGGGGCCTCTTGGGGCCCCTTCGTTGGGGGCCTCTTGGCAGTCTCGGTGCCTGTCTTGGCGTTCTCTTGGGCCCATCTGGAGCAATCTTGGGAATCTCTGAAGCAGTCTTGGAGGCTTTCTGGGCTGTCCCAGGCTCTCTAAGGGCGTTTTCGGTCCCTCTTGGATCGTGGAGCGCTGGAAACTCGAAAGAAAAGTGCGTCAAATTTGTCAAAAACGTGAGGGAAGTCCGTGCCGACGGAATAGTCAAAAAACGACGAAGCCCATCAGAAAATCACATAATCCTGCCGCTGTGAAACTGGCGACCCCTGAGGTTTTGTGTCTTGAGGCGGGGCGACGGCAGAGGGGTGTGGCCCGCTGCTCGCAACGAGCGGTCAGCATGCCCTCACACTCATGGAGGGGAGATGACCCGCGCCTCGCGGTTGGAGGCTGAAAGGTGCGGGCTGTCGGACTCCGCTATATATACACACACATATCTATATATACACATATATATATATATAATATATATATATATATATATATATGATTGTATGATTGTATGAGTGCTTATATGCTTACATATACACGAACTTGCATACATGCATGCATGCATACATACATGCATCCATCGGAGGTTGGGGGATGAGATCGCAGTGAAACGGAGACCCCCCACCGGGAAATCGGTTTCGGTTTCGTGTTCGTGCCGTGCGTGCTGGCGAAGCGAAGCTGCGCGTGATCCTCCTGTAGCTAGGCCAAAGTAGGAGCGAAAGTCCGTCGCCCAACAGCCGGTGGCCTTTTGGGCCGGGCGGTGTCCCGGGTGTCCCGGGTGTCAGTAGGAGCGAAAGTCCGTTTCCCGTCCGCCGGAAGCCAGGAGGTGTCCCAATTGGGCCGGGCGGTGTCCCGGGAGTCCCGGGTGTCCCGGGCGTCCTGGCGCTAACGCATGTCGCTAAATTCATAATTCATTTTTGTTCGGCGCCATCTTATCCAACCCATCTTGTCCCATCTTATCTTATCCCACCCAATCAAATCCACCCAACGCAATCAATCGATTCATTTATTTCTGCGCCTGCGGCGGGCCAATCCAATCCATCTTATCTTATCAAATCCATTTCTTCCAATCCAACCCATCTTATCTTATCCTATCCATCTTATCCCATCCAATCCAATCCACCCAACCCAAACCATCAATCCAGCTTATCTTATCGAATACATCTTGCCCAATCCAACCCATCTTATCGTATCCAACCCATCTTGTCCCATCTTATCTTATCCCACCCAATCCAATTCATCCAACCCAATACATCAATTGACTTGTTTCTGCGCCTGCGGCACCCCAATCCAATCCATCTTATCTGATCCAATCCATCTCTGCCAATCAAACCATTTTTTCTTATCCAATCCATCTTATCCCATAAAATCCAATCCACCCAACCCAATCCATGAATTCGATTTTGTCGGCTCCTGCGGCGGGCTTTCTTATCTAATCCAGCTTCTTATCTTATCCAACACATATTGTCCAATCCAATCCATCTTATCTTATCCAACCCAGTCAGGGTGGGAATTTGATCTCAATCCCCCCCAACTTCCTTATCGCCCGCAGGGCGGTCGTATAGGTACCTATATACATACACATACATGTATCGGAGGTTGGGGGGAGAGATCGCAGTGGAATGGAGACCCCAAGCCGGGAAATCGTTTCGTTTCGTTCGTGTCGTGCGTACGGGCGAGGCGAAGCTGCGTGGGCGCGCGAGAGGAATGAACCCGCCGCTGCTAGGGCGAAGTTAAGACAAATGTTTCTCCTCCATCCGTCCGGCGGTGGCCCTAGCGGTGTCCCGCGGTGTCCCGTGGTGTCCCGTGGAGTCCCGAAAGTTTATGTTTATAGCGTTTCTTCTTCGTCGATTATGAAAAGGCTTTCTCATTCACACCTCCCCCCCTCGCTCGCCGCCGACCTCTGTAGTCGCCGACTCCGAGCCTCGACCCTGGCCGTGCGGCCGCGGCGGGCGCGGCGGTGGGCGCGCGCCTTTGCCCCGGCGTCCGCCGGTGGGCCGCGGAGGCCTGCGCGTGTCGCCAAAGGTCTCCCGGTCGTTCTGCCGGGCCTGCCGCCAGAGGCTCGGCGGCGAAACCTCTCCTCCGCCTCCCCCTCCTCCTCCTCCTCCTCCTCCTCCTCCTCCTCCTCCTCCTCCTCCTTCGGATCCTCCGCCTCCTCCTCCTCCTCCTCCTCCTCCTCCTCCTCCTCCTCATCCTCTCCTCCTCCTCCTCCTCCCTCCTCCTACCTCTCTCCTCCTCCTCCTCCTCCTCCTCCTCCTCCTCCTCCCTCCTCCCCTCCTCCTCCTCCTCCTCCTCCTCCTCCTCCTCCTCCTCCTCCTCCCTCCTCCCCTCTCCTCCTCCTCCTCCTCCTCCTCCCCTCCTCCTCCTCCTCCTCCTCCTCCTCCTCCTCCTCCTCCTCCTCCTCCTCTCTCCTCCTCCTCCTCCTCCTCTCCTCCTCCTCCTCCTCCTCCTCCTACTCGCCCCCCCCCCCTCCTCCTCCCCTCCTCCTCCTTCCTCCTCCTCCTCCTCCTCCTCCTCCTCTCTCCTCCTCCTCATCCTCCTCCTCCACTCCCCTCCTCCTCCTCTCCTCCTCCTCCTCCTCCTCCTCTCCTCCTCCTCCTCCTCCTTCCTCCTCCTCCTCCGCCTCCGCCTCCGCCTCCGCCCTCCGCCTCCGCCTCCCGCCTCCGCCTCCACCTCCGCATCCGCATCCTCCTCCTCCTCCCCCTCCTCCTCCTCCTCCTCCTCCTCCTCCTCCTCCTCCTCCGCCTCCTCCTCCTCGTCCTGCCTGCGGCCGCGCGGCGCCCGGCGCCTGGAGGACGCTGATCGGGAGCCGGGAGATACACCCTTTGACTGCAGTCCATGAGACGGCGCAGCAGGACCCCGAGGGGCCCAGGCCCCTGGGCACTCGAAGAGATCAAGGCTCTCGAACGACTGAGAACGTCAGAAGCCTTTTGAGGCCTCGGGACACACATCCGGGGACCTCCAGGGACGCACCTCTGTGGAACCCCAGGGAGCCAGCAGGTACCCCTGCCCCCCCCCTCCCAAATAGGGCGGCTCTCCTGGGGGTGGCCCGCCGCCTCCCAACCGCCACCTGCCGCGGACGCGGCTGATGGATCAGTCCTCGCGACCGACGGCAAAGGCTTGGATGAAGGGAGCGCCGAGGGGGAGGAAGAGCTGGGTGATCCAGGCCTCGGAGAAAAATAGCGAACACGCAAGCCACATTCATCAGTCAACTCCTCCCCCTCCCCCCAGTGTTCAAAATTGGCGGTGGGTCTGATGCGTTCCACTTCGACCGCAGTCTCCCCCGCGCCTGCCAACATTGAGTTTTGGGGAGCGGGGGAGTGTCCACTGATCGTTTCCCCTACCGTCGGTGGCGAGCACGGGGGCAAGTGAGAGGGGGCAGGTCTGAGAGGGCTTCGGAGCTCCTCAGAAGCCCTCGCGCCTTCTGCGAAGCCGCGGGTGGCTTCGGACAGGGCCGCCTGAGGCCTCAGAGAAGGCCACCTGTGGCTCTGGCCCCAAGTGGAAGCCAAAGGATGTAGCCGCGTCGGCGATGCGGCGCAATTCTCCGACCCCCTCTGCTCGGGCCCCACTCGGGCGGCCTCCAGCCACGTGCACGACTGTGCACCTTCCCTTCGCGGCCTTCGCGAGGTCGCCCTCGCGCCACGAGCGCTCGCGCGAGGCTCCGCCTCGGAACCCGCGAGAGCGCACGTGCGCGCACGTCCCGGCGCCCGTCCCCGAGATGCACGACGGCACCCCGGTCGCGCGGGGTCGGCAGAGGGAAAGCCTGGCCCCCAAGGAGGGAGGGGAGCATGCGGTGGGACGCACAGGAACGTACTAATATTATGAGTCCTCCTCGGAGGCGCACGTCCGACTCGCACGTATGGTGGACCCATCCTGTAGTATATCGTGTGCCGGGCGTTGTGGCCAGAAAGCGCCCGCCACGGCGCACATACTATAAGACTTCTCGGTGCGCGCGTCGCCCCTCGGGGGGCGACGCACATATCGTATGAGTATGTTGGGGTGACGCCGATGCGGGGGGGCATGGGTGCCCGGAGCCGCTGGGTGCGGGGGCGCCCCGCGTCAGGGGCTCACCCTCGAGGCCCGCCAAGACAAGTGCCGCCCAGAAACTCGAGCCAGTGGGGCGAATGAGGAGGAGGGCAGAAGGGGGACGACAAGGGAGAGAAGGAAGGTCAGGAGGCAACGTCTGGAAGGCCTTCGCAGGCACGGGTTAAAGAAAACCATGGGGGTATCAAGCCGGACTAGGCCTTGGATAAGCCAGATTCAGCCGAAATGAGCGGGATTATGCCAGGTTTCCGACCGCAAATATACCAGTGCGGATGCTAAGTCTTACCTCGCATGAGTTGTATCCCAGGGGAGGGCAACTAGGAAGGCGAGGTTACCCCGCTGACTGGAATCCTTGAGACGGCGCAGTAGGACCGCGCGGGGCCCAGACCCCTGGCAACTCGAAGAGATCACGGCTTTTGAACGCCTGAGCACTCCAGAAGCCTTTTAGAGGCCTCGGGGCACGTCACATCTGGGAATCTCCAGGGACGCACAGGCCTCAGAAAAAAATAGCGGGCACTCGTGCTAAGTTCGTCCGTCAACGCCTCCCCCTCTCCCCAGTGTTCAAAGTTGGCGGTGGGTCTGATGAACTGCACTTCGACCGCAGTCTCCTCCGCGCGTAACTTTGAGTTT